TCAAAACCAACACACATTGTAGGAAACAAGTAAACATGAAAACTGTTATCGGCCAATTCATCAAGCAACGTGGAACGTTCTTCAGAAACCTGCAGCAGGCGGCAATCAACAGTCAGCGGCTGACGGCGGAGAGATCCGACCGCCACTTACTGGCACTGTAGGATTATAGGCAACACTAAACCGGTCTTATCTCTCACTTGATTTGGTTAAGCACTGCAGCCAAGGTACCTACTAATCAATCATCGATTTATTGATTTGGAGCTAAAAAATTACACCATCCCCATGGACCCTTATAAGGAGCTGCCTGCTGGTCAATTGGACCTTCTGCTCCCCCCAAACTCCCCAGCTGCTCCCAATGCCTTCTCTTCGTGCTGTGGTGGTGGGCTCCGCCCTCGTATGTGCTGCGGCCGGCCAGTTCTTCCCTCCTAAGCCTGAAGGCGTCACGGTCATCGATTCAAAACAATATGAAGGTGTTCAAATCTCCTACAAAGATGTATGCTCCTAGTCAAACGCAAGGTGAGTGTCAAGCCACGTGCTAACCTGTTTGCCAGCCTGGAATCTGCGAAACTACGCCTGGGGTCAAATCGTACTCCGGCTATGTTCACCTTCCCCCGGGCACCCTCAATGAGCTAGGGGTGGACCAACAATACCCCATTAACACCTACTTCTGGTTCTTCGAATCGCGGAACAACCCTGCCAACGCGCCTCTGTCGATTTGGATGAACGGCGGTCCTGGCGGGTCGTCCATCATTGGGTTACTGCAGGAGAACGGGCCGTGTGTTGTCAACAAGGATTCCAATTCTACGGAGATCAACCCTTGGTCATGGAACAACTATGCCAACATGCTCTACATTGACCAGCCGGTTCATACCGGGTTTAGCTATGATGTGGCCGTCAATGGCACCTTCGATGCCCTCACCGGTGACTGGGATATCTCTGGGTTGGAGTCTGGCATCCCGGAGCAGAATAATACCTTTTACGTCGGCACGTTCCCCAGCATGAACAACCAGACCACGATTAATGGGACTGTGAATGCCGCCCGCGCCCTGTGGGTATTTGCCCAGGCTTGGTTCTCGGAATTCCCCGAGTACAAGCCCCATGATGACCGCGTCAGCATCTGGACCGAGTCATATGGAGGACGCTACGGCCCGGCCTTTGCAGCGTTCTTCCAAGATCAGAATAACCGAATCGCCAACAACACCCTGTCCGGCCATCCAATCCACCTCGACACTCTTGGCATCATCAACGGCTGCATCGACCTGCTTGTCCAAGCGCCGAGCTTCCCCGAAATCGCCTACAACAACACGTACGGCATCCAAGCACTCAACCAGACCATCTACGAGGCTGCCATGCAGGCCTGGAGTGGACCGGGCGGTTGCAAGGACAAGATCATCGAGTGCCGTGCGGTAGGCGCCGAGGGGGATCCGGAGATGCACGGCAACAACCAGACCGTCAGCCGGGTCTGCCGGGATGCGGACGCCTACTGCATCGATGAAGTCAAGGGCGTCTTCAAGAAATACTCCGACCGCGGCTACTACGACTTTGCGCATTCGGCCCAGGACCCCTTCCCGGAGCCGTATTTCATCGGGTACCTGAACCAGCACTGGGTGCAGGCCGCGCTGGGGGTGCCGGTCAACTATACCCGCTCGGCGGAGAGCATCTGGGAGGCCTTCCGGTCGACGGGCGACTACCCGCGCTCGGACCGCCGCGGCCTGATCGAGGATCTCGGCTACGTGCTGGACTCCGGCGTCAAGGTGGCCCTGGTCTACGGGGACCGGGATTTTGCCTGCCCCTGGACCGGCGGCGAGGCCGTCAGCGAACTGGTCGAGTACGCCGGGGCGGCGCAGTTCCGGTCCGCGGGCTATGCGGAGTTGCGGACGAACTCCTCATACGTGGGTGGCATGGTGCGCCAGTCGGGGAACTTTTCGTACACGCGGGTCTATCAGGCGGGCCACGAGGTCCCCGCCTACCAGCCCCAGACGGCGTATGAGATCTTCCACCGGGCGCTGTTCAATCGGGATCTGGCGACGGGGAAGATCTCCACGGTGAAGAACCCGGGCTACCAGAGCCAGGGCCCGGAGTCGACGTGGAGTATTAAGAATGTGGCGCCCGAGATCCCGGAGCCCGTGTGCTACGTGCTGGCTTTGCAGGAGACCTGTACGGAAGAGCAGATTGAGAGCGTGATTAATGGATCCGCGGTAATCAAGGACTACCTGGTGGTGGGGAGGAAGTGATTCGAGGGGATATCACCGAATTGGTGAGTATTTGTGGCATGAAACAAGGTAGTCAGTCCAGAGTATGGTTTCTTGAAGACCGTCGAATATCTACCTAATAACTACTCGGTATTAGCAGACTGAATGTAGTCAGATTATATGGAACCTAGTGACTGCACAAAACCTCAATCTTACTTAGTATGTACACATAAAGGTAGTGGATCACCGGCTGCCCGTTCCCCGCACTAGCCCGAACAGGCAGGTCGCCAGCTGCCGGTGGACGGGACACTTTCTATACTTGGGCTGAAGTCCAGATGGATCAACTTTCCTCTTTCTCGCCTCAATCTCCAATTTCCCTTCCCTTGACAGCTAGAGTTGTCTGGAACCACCATTCAGCCAGGATCGACAATTTGGTTGTTGCTAGCCTTGCGATCCCCAGCCCCGAATTTCAGTAGTATCCAGTCTCTTTGCCCATGTCAATGCTTGGGAAATCGAACCTTCTCGAACCTTCTCTTGGCCCGGCCAGCGGGGAGACAGCGTCACACGTCACCGCAGGGCTCACCTGAGGTGAACGGAAAGCCCGCCAACACTACTGCATAAGACTTCCACCGTTTGTCCCCCTCCTACCCAACGACACAACTGGCTTTCGTCTACTGTCCTGAACACGAAATCATCATCATCCCGATCACTCGCTTTGCCGCTTCTTTCCCCCCCCCCCTGCATCTTCCTTATCTCACTACTCCTGAAAGTTTCGCGCTACCTCACTCTAGACGGTGGTGGTCAGTGGGCAGTGTGATCCTGTGAATCTTCTACGTCATTCGAGATCGTACTTCCTTCCCCGCCCGGTTTCGACCTGCCATCATTCCCCTGACGCACACCCTGACCGGTGGTGTGATCCTCCCTCCTCGTCGATTGCTTATATTGGAGGCATCGAGTTGCTCCAATTAGCGTTCTTCAGTACCTGACAACACCTGCGAAACCTTTCGTTTACACATTTGACCTGCATTTCCATCTTTTCGTTCGTCAACAACCACATTATCAACAACACACAAACACTCCACAATGGTGGCTGAAACAAAGCTTTACGACGCCCTATCAATCAAACCAGATGCTTCACAAGATGAAATCAAGAAGGCCTATCGCAAGGCTGCCTTGAAGTACCACCCGGATAAGAACAAGGACAACCCGGCTGCGTCGGAGAAGTTCAAAGGTATGCTTCACATCTTTTCTGTTCTGATTTGTCCAGTGCACAGCTAACCTAGACTATTGATAGAGGTCTCACAAGCATATGAAGTTCTTTCTGACCCCGAGAAACGCAAAGTCTACGATCAATTCGGTCTGGAATACCTCATGCGGGGTGGCCCGCCCCCGACGAGTGGCGATGCCGATGGCGGTGCCAACCCCTTCGCCGGAGGGATGCCCGGCGGTTTCTCGTTCGGTGGCATGCCTGGAGGCGGAGGAGGCGGTACCCGTACGTTCCACTTCTCGACTGGACCCGGTGGAAGCAGCGGATTCCGGTTCAGCAATGCGGATGACATCTTCCGGAACTTCGCCAAAGCCAGCGGAGGCATGGGCGGCATGGGCGGCGGGGGCGGCATGGATGAAGACGACCTCTTTTCGATGCTCGGTGGCGGCTTAGGTGGTGGCCGGGGGTTCCGGACCAACCGCGGGTCGACCGGCTTCAAGCAGTCTGCGCGTGCCCCGACGCCGGAGCCCACCGTCATGGAGAAGGAGCTGCCGCTGACGCTGGAGGAGATCATGAAGGGCGTGACGAAGAAGGTGACGGTCAAGAGCAAGACGTTTGACCCGGCGACCGGCAAACGCACAGTGCAGGATGTCACGCTGGAAGCGAAGATCAAGCCTGGTCTACGCACGGGATCGAAGCTCAAGTACCGTGGCGTGGGAGACCAGGAAGAGGGTGGGAAACAGGATGTGCATCTGATTGTCACTGAGGTAGGTTTCTTGTCCTGTCCTACGGAACTTGGTGGTGATTTACTAACGGTCTCTGCAGAAAGAACATCCCAACTTCAAACGCCAAGGCGACCACCTCATCACAACGGTCGAATTAAGTCTGAAAGAGGCCCTCACCGGCTGGGAACGTATTGTCCGCACGATCGACGGCAAGTCCATCAAGGTTTCCAAGCCGGGACCCACGCAACCGGGTTACGAGGAACGGTATCCGGGCCTAGGTATGACCGTTTCGAAGAAACCGAGCGAGCGGGGTGACCTGATCATTCGGGTCAATGTGCGGTTCCCCGCTACCCTGACTGCGGCCCAGAAGGAGGTGCTGCGGGACGTTCTTCCTTGATTGATTTCGTGCAATTCGTGCAATATTCCCATCATAGTATTGTTACTGCTTTTGATGTGTTTCTAATTACCAGGGATCGGATTAGCATAGTTGGCGTTTGGGCGTAAGCGGCTGGATCGCTGAGGATGATGGAACGATGATGATTGATGACGGGAGGATAGTTTAGATTCGAATATACTTCGAATAAAAGTAATATCAAGTTGGCTCGGCTATAGTAGGTAGTAGGATAATCGACATGAGTTACTGGTAACTATAACCCGGTAGACGTAGAGTACAGTTAGTACTCTGTCTGTAGTCCAGTGAGAGTTCTAGCTACAGTATGTCCTTATCGATAAGTTAACCTACTGGGTACGATAACGATAACACCCGATAAGATAAACCACGCGACCAATCCCCAGGCCAGCAGACCGCCAACCCCAACGTCAACATCCAAGCTTAGCTTAAGCTCAAGCTCCCATCTCCATCTCCATCTCCATCTCCATCTCCATCTCCATCTCCTCAGCTTCTCCACATCACCCTTGATCATCAATCTATCCAGCACCCATCTCCAATTCATTCGCTCTCATCACTACTCATCTACCCCCTCAGCCAAACTCTAAACTCCATCCTCCCACACATCAACACCCAATACCAACCAATCCGAAGGATGACCCCCCCCATCAAACGCAGAACAACCTACCTCCAAGACCCCGCCACCCCCTTCGACCCCTCCCAAGCCCGTCTCCTCCCCCAGGCTCTGGAGATCCGGAATTTACACAGCGCGAAGCAGGAACGGTGGACCGTGTCTGTTGAGGAGTTGTTGGGCAGTGGTGGTGGTGGTGGTGGTGGTGGGTGGGATGCCGAGGTACGTTCCCCCCCACCCCCAACGTTCCCTGGGCGATCGGTTATCTTGAATATCTGGTAATGTGTTTCTGTGGAAGTATCAGGTCCGAGAGTTTTTGGGCAGTGGTGTGGAGCGGTTGAGTGTGCGGTGGGCTTCGGGGGATGCTGCTGCTGGCGCCGGGGGCGCTGTCACGCCCTTCGCCAGTCGGGTTTCCGGGGGGTTGCATGTTTTTTTGAGACCGGGGAGGGTTCCGGGGCAGAAGGGTGTTGAGGGCGAGGAAGGAGGGGGGAGGAGGTGAGTCTTTGAATTTTGCTGTGTTTTATCTCTCGGGGTTGGGGATACCTACGGAGCTTACGCTAATGGGTTTGGGTTTGGGTTTGGGGTGCCAGCGATGCGGTGTGTCGGGTTTTGAGGAGTGTGTTTGGCTCGGCGGAGGTTAAGAAGTGTCGGGATTATGAGGTGTGTTTTTCCCAATTTTCTCTTACAAGATTCGTGGGTGGTTGGGCTATACGGCATGGAGGCTAAATCTTTTCTTGGGTGGCTTTTTGATTGTTGGCTAGAAATCTTTCACTTGGTCCGGTGCATCCTCTGAGTACCAGTTCTATTCACCTTTGGCGTCGTTGGAGGGGTTGGTGGGTTTCGTTCGGGAGAAGGTTTGTACAGTGGCAGGGAAGGAGGGGGCTGGGGCTGAGGCGGAGCGGTGTCGTCGACAGGCCCGGGAGTTGCTCGCTGCGGACTCGGTGGATCTCGCCTACGACGCTGAATCGCGCAATTTGGTGGTGTCCGCCTTCTGGGCGGATGCGCCGGGGGGCGAGGGGTGGACAGAGGATCTCCACGCTCCGGCTGCTGGGTCCAAAGGGAAGATGGAGGTTGGGTTGCTGGGGGCGGAGAGGACGGCGGACCCTGAGGAGATCAAGATGGGTGGGCTGTTGGGGGTGGTTGGGGAGGATGAGAAGTTGAGTATGTTTGTTTTGTCTTCAAGCATACACGCAGAGAGAAAGCGCCACAACAGCTGACTAGTGTGCCCCCCCGATTCTAGAGCCGACGTTGTTTTCCTTCGCTTCCAGGCACCATGCCCTCCCTCGTGATGCCGTCTTTTCGGTGGGCTTCCCTTTGCCCACGGGCTTACATCCTACGATGACCATTTCCCTATCGCCCGCCGCGCTGCAGCCCCCGGACGCAACCTGTGCCCTGCATACGTATCTCACGCTGCCGTCCTACCTCTTCGGCGACAAGTACCAGCTGGGCACCGAGGATCCGCTGTTCTTGGATTCGCACCACCTGGTCAAGTTGCAGTCCGTGACGGGCGAGACGGACCTCGAGGCGCCGGACTGGTCCGTGTCTCAGTGGGGTTCGAATTGGCTGCTCGAGGTGGCTACGCCCCCTGAGGATCAGACTCCCGAAGAATGGAACGTGACCATTCCGCTTCATTTGCGTTACTTGGCCCCGTCGGAAAGTGGTTATCGCTCGGTCGAGGTCCCCTGGCCGGTGGTGTTCTGGGCGTGTGCCGCCAGTGAAGAGTCCAAGATGCATTTAAACCCCTTCGACCGTGTGGGCCTCGGATGGGAGAGGCTTTTTGCGCCCCAGACCATATTTTACCAGGTGAATCCAGCTGCAGAACAGGGTCGGCTGGTTGAGGAGATCAGCGTGCCCGTGCTGAAGGAGAACGGCCTCTTCAACAGCAGGACCATTGAATTTGGCACAGTACTCGCCATTGTCCTAGGTTCGCTTTGGGTGCTGTGGAAACTCGGCGCCGTAATGCGGAGCTCTGGCGCCCGCACAAGGATAGAGAGCCAGAAGAAGTCCCAGTGATTCGTTTGCCTTGCAGGAAACCCCAGCGCTCTTTCGAGAGACTATAACCGGTTGTATATCCATCATCGTTCTCAATCTGATCGCTTTATTTCTCCGTCCGGAATTCAGCTGGTAGAAACCGACCCGGCCCCGGGTGTATCCGCCAAGGGCCCCGGCATGTCGGTGTACATGAACCGTTCCATGTCGAAGTGCTGGAGACTCGGCATGTCAACTAGTAGATCACTCAGCCAGGAGAACCCTGGATAGTCGGCCAGCGAGTGGTGCGGCTCCGTAGTCGACGCAGTCTGTCCCGCCTCGATCTGTGATGTCGAGGCTGCCGAGTGCACGTGCAACACATCCTTGAGCACTTTGGTGTCCTCCTCCTTCTGCCGCTGGTGCAGGAGCATGAGCAGGTACGCCGTGCTGTAGGCGTCCCGCATGACCTCGGTATCGTACGCCGCCACGACCTCGCGAAGGGTGGACATGGCGTCGCCCAGCATCATCAGCGTTGCCCGGTTGTCAATAGCCAGCAGCGTACACACGACCTGGAATGGCACGTTGGCGGCCTGGTGCCAGGGACAGTTCGACGCCACCATCTCGCGTGCTGCGCGGAGGCCCTTCTCCGCGAGGGCGAGGACCCGATCAAGCAGTGCCCCGGAGATGATGCAGTTCAGGGCTCGGAGGCGACGGTAGATGCAGAGCATCAGATTACATTGGACCAGAATCAGCGGGGGCTGGGTGAGCACCAGGTTGAGGACGTCCGTCAGCGCGGATTCCAGGGCGGGTGCGTCCTGCGTCTTGTTGGGGTCGAGGCTCTCAGACATCGGAAGCAGGCCGAAGATCTCCGTCGGATGGCTCGGCGAGCGGGGCGTCGGCGGCAGCGAGGTGGCGCCGTGCAGGACCACGCGCGAGCGGGCGAGCTCGAACGATATCCACACGTTCAGATGGCGGGCCATGCCGAAGAGCCGGCGGCGCAGTTCCGGGTCGCACGGTTCCACAGGTTGGCTGAGGGCAGTGGTGGTCGTGTCGCCGCCGCCACCGGGGAGTTCGAGGTGCAAGCCTGTCGCTTCGATGAGGTGCATCAGCGAACAACTGGCCATCCAGGCTGCGTTCGGCGTGGCGGTCATGCGAAGGTAGGCTACACGTAGCACCCAGGCGGTCACCAGGTCCACGGACGGCGGCGCATCGGACACCATATGCTGCTCCAGCATCAGCCGGGCGCTCTCCGCCAGTTGCAGCTCCGCCGGAGTGGCCGTTCGCTGTGAGAACAGGCAACCAAACGCCCCGACGCCGCACAGGACCGCGTCGAAGGCGCCGTAGGCGAGGGCGGACTCGGCCGTCGCCGGGAGCCACCGTCGGCTCAGGTTGCGCAGCAGGTCGTCGCGCTCGATGAAGCTGTAGCACGGGTCGACCTTCTCGAAGAACACGGCCACCAGCGCGCGCATCTCATCTTGCGAGATCTGATCCACGATGGGCAGGGCCTTGACGGCGGAGAATGATGCAGCGGCAGCAGGCATGGTTGCGGCCGGGGATGGGGAAGGGTGCCGGGCGCCCATGTTCCAGGCGAAGAGATGCAATTTGGGCGCGTTGGTCGGGTCGATCTTGAGGCCGAGGCGTCTGGCGAACGCGGCGCCGGAGTTGGCGTCCAGCGAGTTGAGCCGCGCTGCGGTCTCATCGGGCGAGGGTTTGGAGGATGATTCCGCCGACCGGCTGCTGGCGGCGAGGCTACCACCTAACCCATCCGGCGTGAGGCTAGGAAGTCCCCCCAGGAACGGGGTGGACTGCAACTGGAACAGCCGCACGTCTCGCTTCTTGCGCGACTCCAGGTCATAGTGGCAATCTACCCCGAATTGAACGCAGGTTGAACAGGGCTGGTCCCCGGTGCATTTGCGCTTGCGCGATTGGCACGAGGTGCAGGCCACTCGCGAGCGCTTTCTCGGGGGTTCGGTCATGACGGGTGTCTGGATAGTGCATATTTCAGCCGGCTTGATGTGGTTACCGGATCATTCGGAAATGTGTGCTTGTACAGTCAGTAATGAGATGACTGGCGTTGTTTCGGAGTTGATTTGGAGAGGTCTAAGCGAATGGTCGAACTACACGAGGAGAAGAACATGTGATGTTGGTGTGGTGGTGGTGGTCTTGCATCGCTGAGTCAGCGGTGTGATTCGGGCTGCATTGTGCTGCTGCATAACCCCTCTCTATCTCTATCTTAACAGTCTAACTTCTTGGCTACAGTGGGCAAGGTAACGCTTGAGGATTATGCTGAGGGAAGTTCACATCCTCATGGACATGCTGGGCCTGTCGTCTGCCCCATTATTGCCTGCATTTACGACAAGTTGACAACAGACAGAATTGTGTGACTTCTATCATCGGTGAGGAAAAGCATCCTCTCCTGGCCAATTGAACTAACGGACCCTGGCATTGATTGAGGTCGAAGTTTCGCATAGGAAAAAGTTTGCCAACTTGCATTGCAGTTGACTGCAGTTGACAACTGCGGTGAAGAAGTCGAGTTGATATCAAGGATATGACCCACCGAATTGTTGAGGATCCCCTGCATGTGTGGAAAGCAGCGATTCGGGCAAGATCATCGGAGATCCAGCCTGCATCCGGAAGCCTTTGCTCCCAGCCATTCATTCCACCCAACTGGTGGGTCTGGTGCTTCTGGAGGCGATAACTTACTGTCCATCCAGTCGATATTCCGAGGGCTAGGATCCTGTGCTTTTGCAGCATGAATTATACCCATACAGTACATATCCATCCTGAAGTCTACGACGTATACACTCAACGAACACCCGGCGGCATTAATCAGTTTGTCATTTGTCTTATCAGGGCCATTGATGGCTTCTGGGGTAAAGGATGATATTAGTCAAGGATATCCCCAGATGGCTGCTGGGGAGGCAAGATGTTAGGTAATGAATGGAGCGCAGCAGCAATAGACCCATTCTACAGTGGAGGAGTTACATCAATAGCGACTCAAGTGCCTACACTACGGTACGGTACGGTTCGTCGTGAGTCACGGACGCACGGCTCAGGGACGGAGGGGAGTCTGCCGTAGAAGTAGAGATACCATCGGAGGCAATTCCAATTATTCACGGTGAATAACAGCCGTGATAAATCCTGGCCCAAGAAAACCTTTGAAGAAAAATCGTCAGTCCGATAGCGGGAGGCAATAGCCCGCTTCCGATTGGCGGGGAAAGGGAAAAAAGAAAGGAAAAGGGAAGGCACGTGACGTGCCCACCCCCGACCGGGCCGGCGGTCGCTCTTCTTTCTTTTAATGCCCTTCCCTTCGCTCCCTTCCTTCTTTCTCCCTCTCTCCTTGTCTCTGACTCACTCAATCTCCCCCATCTCATCCATCCCATCCTATATCTCCGTGCATCTACACCCTTCAATGTCTGTCTAATCAGACTCATCTTTTACTTCAATTTTAAATAAAGACTGGTAACAGCACCGTCGCGCTTATGCGTTTGGCACCTTCCGTCTTCACCTCTCAGGTATGTTATGCATGCTATTTCCCGCCACCACTACCGTTACTATGAACTCAAGCATCAAGAATCTAACCTCGACCCTAACAGGACTACATCTCGGATCACCTCTGGAAAGCTTCCGGAAACTTTTGAATAGCCACCACACATATCTGCCACTTCTTCCATTCCCGTCACGTCCAAATCATATCAAATTATGTTCGCTCGACTCTTCAAGGCCATGCCCGCCCGGGCCCAGGCCTTCCCTTCCGTGAATGCCTCCGTCCAGTCCCGCTTCATGGCCACCGTTCGTCAAGGACGTCCGGCCACTGAACGCGCCACTTTCACGATCCGAGATGGTCCGATCTTCCACGGCAAGTCCTTCGGAGCCCGCTCCAACATCTCGGGTGAAGCCGTCTTCACCACCTCCCTCGTCGGATACCCCGAGTCCTTGACCGACCCCTCCTACCGTGGTCAGATCTTGGTCTTCACCCAGCCCTTGATCGGTAACTACGGTGTCCCCTCCGCTGAGCGGGATGAGCACGGTCTGCTCAAGTACTTCGAGTCCCCCAACCTCCAGGCCGCCGGTGTCGTCGTCGCCGACGTCGCCGAGCAGTACAGCCACTGGACTGCCGTCCAGAGTCTGGGCGAGTGGTGTGCCCGCGAGGGTGTCCCCGCCATCTCGGGTGTCGACACTCGCGCCATTGTCACCTACCTCCGTGAGCAGGGTTCCTCCCTCGCTCGTATCACCGTCGGAGAGGAGTATGACGCCGATCAGGATGAGGCCTTCGTCGACCCTGAGCAGATCCACTTGGTTCGCCAGGTCAGCACCAAGGCCCCCTTCCACGTCAGTGCCGCCAACTCCCAATGCCACGTTGCTGTCATCGACTGCGGTGTCAAGGAGAACATCCTGCGCAGCCTGGTCAGCCGTGGAGCCAGCATCACTGTCTTCCCCTTCGACTACCCCATCCACAAGGTCGCCCACCACTTCGATGGTGTCTTCATCTCCAACGGTCCCGGTGACCCCACTCACTGCCAGGACACCGTCTACAACCTTCGCCGCTTGATGGAGACCTCCCAGGTCCCCATCTTCGGTATCTGCTTGGGCCACCAGCTTCTGGCTTTGGCCAATGGTGCCCGGACCGTCAAGCTCAAGTATGGTAACCGTGCTCACAACATCCCTGCCCTGGATCTGAGCACTGGCCGCTGCCACATCACCAGTCAGAACCACGGTTACGCTGTGGATGCCGATACCCTTCCTTCTGACTGGAAGCCCTACTTTGTCAACCTGAACGACTCTAGCAATGAGGGTATGATTCACAAGACCCGTCCCATTTTCAGCACCCAGTTCCACCCGGAGGCTAAGGGTGGTCCTCTGGACTCCTCTTACCTCTTCGACATCTACTTGGACAGCGTGGTCAAGTACAAGAACAGCCAGTTGGCTTTCCAGCCTGGCCGTGAGACCGCCCCCAGCCCTCTCTTGGTTGACTTGTTGGCCAAGGAGCGTGTTGGTGTGCAGCCTACCATCGGTATGCAGAACGTGGCTGCCGCTGCCGCTGCCGCCGCCGCTGCTGCTTAAGAGATTCGTCGAATTGGGACTGGAGTTCATGGTTTGGGTACGGTCGGATCATATGCGGTTTCTTCTTTTGTCAAAATGGTTCGGTTCATAATTTGGGTACATTTTGAGTTTAATGTAGTAAATACATTTACATTCTAACTTTCTAAGCATAGTCCTTTCATTCGTCTCCGTAGACTTGTTTTCATTAGTCGTAACGCAGATGATGTCCTGGTGCCAGTCTGACCGGGTATAGCCCTTCAAGCGCCAATTCGCCATTATGCTGTTAACCCCTTCATCAAGTGGGTTCTGGCCAAGTTATATTTTCTAACCTTTGAAAATCACTAAGTCATTATTTCGCCACGATCGAAACCACGTCCTCATCCGACACCACATGCCCCAACCCCACCCGCTGAGGGATGTGTCTGGCGCTGGCACCCCACACCATCGCATACTTGAACGTCTCCTTCAGCGTCCGATGGATGCTATCACAAACATCCTCGATCGTCGAATTGTGCCGCACAATCAGCGCCTCGGAGAAATCAGGCTCCTCTCCTTTCCTATAGCAGACATTAGCTTCAGATGGCCTTACCGAGGGAGAAAATAGACCCCGCTGTCGGGGCAGAAGGAGAGGGAAAGATAAGACGATTTTTGTGATTGGGAAAAAGTGAACCAGGGCCAAACGTACCGCTTCGTGTAGACGCGAATCAAGCGGAGCTCCTTCCAGATGCGCTCGACGACGTCTTCGACGCCGAGATCGAGCTCACAACTCATGACGGCGGTGTAGGGTTCGCGGGCGAGTTGGTCGAGGAAGTCGAGGCTGACGCCGTCGATTTTGTTGTAGACGTAGAGACTGTCGTTTTGTTAGATGATATCATATTATCCTTGGGGCGGGCTTGAATGGTGATGGGAAGACGAGCGGTGGATAGAGTAGGGAATCAAATATACATACCATCTGATGTATTTGCGGTGGTCTTTCATAATCACGTCGATGAAGTCGTCGATTGTCGCTGTGGTGGGGTGTGGTGTTGTGTTAGTTTCAATGGTTATACCCGGGGGGAAGGGGGGTTGTTTGAGTAGGTGCTGGGGAATGGGGACATACCGTATTCGTCTCGCACGAGGACTTCGCAGTTCAGCATCTTGTAGTCACGGAGAACGTTGAAGATCATCTTCTCGTCGAGGTACTTTGGGGGCGTTTGGAAGGTGATCTTCACACCGCCGGCCTTCTTCTGTTTGAGGTAGATGTTCCTGTGGTTGGGGTTAGATTTTAGTCAAGGATAAAGGACTGAGTCAAGACCGCGAGAGAACATACGGAGGTTCCTTGTTGAGACGAATCCCCACGGCATCCAATTCCGCCTCGAGCAGGGCTCGTTGCTCCGCTCGTTTCGTGGCATCCAGGACCATCAGGACCAGGTCGCTTGTCTATACGCCAAAGCCCCAGAATGCAATCGTCAGTGTCTATCCCAACCATATGTCGGAAGAAATGCACCAGTGGGATTTGATAAGAGGGAGGGAGGGAGTCTGCTGCCTACCTTAGCCGCGGAGATGACCTGCCGTCCTCGACCCTTTCCTTCCGCAGCCCCCTCGATGATACCGGGCAGATCCAGGATCTGGATTTCCGCGCCGCCGTACTCCAGGACACCGGGGATTGCGGTGAGCGTGGTGAAGGCGTACGCGGCGGTCTCACTCTTGGTCTTGGTGATCTTGCTGAGGAAGGTGGATTTACCGACGGAGGGGAAGCCGACGAGCGCGACGCGCGCATCGCCGCTCTTGCTGACATCGAACCCCGTGCCACCGCCGCCGGAGCCCCCCGTGGGTTCCAGGAGTTGAGCCCTCAGACGGGCGAGTTTACTGCACAGGGTGGGTCAGTTATCATCATTCTTGTATCTTTGGGGTGGGAACGTTTGATGTTGATAGAAAGGGGAATTGGATAACGTGACCTGACCACCTACCCTTTCAACAGACCCAGATGGTACTCTGACATGTAGCATGTTAGGATCGGATCACTTGATCTTCATGCATGCATGCATGCATGCAACGCAATCTTCTGGGGAGAGAATTCACCCACCTGTGGCCTTGTTCTCTATTTGCTCGGGTTAGCATTGCATTATGGTATGGCGGGGCTATCACCGGAGCAGCGGCGGCGGCGGGCAAAAAACAGTTAACTTACTCTGCGTCCTGCGCATCTCATCTTCAATCCTGCAACGAGGCAAAAGATGCCGTCAGAACCGATAATCCCTCTAAATTTGTTGGTAATCGGGACAAGAAGAACATACTCCTTAATCTTCTCCGTAATGTTCACCATCGTGCCGGTCGAGAGCCCCGCGGACTCGTTGCTTTCTCTAATATGGGTAATACAAAATCGGGTTTGCACCGGAGTCCGCGCTGGGAACTCTCTTGGGATTAGATGGATGAGAACAAGTTGATAGATCCCTAGCAAAGCCTGATAGGACAGAAGTTCTCTCGACAGGCAGAGGGGTCTTTTGGTTGGGGGGGGGAGGGGGGGGGGGGGGGGGAAACAATAAACCCCATCTTCAAAATCGATGCGACGCCCGCCGCGGCGGCGGCGACGGACCCCCCGCTTATGTAATTTGATATCGCGGCGACTGCGATTGCATCTCCGCCCCGCTCGCTCGCTGCTCTCCGAGGATTTCTTTCTTGTCGTTCTCATCACTTCCTTTTCGTGGATAATTGCGTTACTTGACGGCGGCGGCGGCAGCAGCAGCAGCAGTAACTATGGCGCTACACTCGACTTTACGTGGCGCTTTGACTATCGGCAACCGAGTAATCTGAAGACTATCGGCAACCGAGTAATCTGAACACACTCACCATTCCTCCTTTCCCTGCAGGAAAAAACGTCGGCGCATGTGCAAGACGACCTCCAACGACCTCCAACGACCAGTGAACCGCCCTTCTGCCGTCGAAGCTCGCACCGTTGCCAAGGTCCATCGACGATAACGGACGAGCTCTCCTCTACCTACGTTCAGGAACAAGTTGCACTGGAGCTGTGATCAACAAACAGCGGGGTCGGATCAGTGGCAGTCGATGGCTTGGGGCTTGACCCGTTCGCTGGAGAAACCAATCTCTGGACGAGGCGTAATTCCCGGGTCAAACGGCTGGAAGGGCTTGGACTACTATATGCTTGATGCTTGAGGCTGCGGCTGCGGCTGCGGTATCGGTGTTTCGGCCGAGGTCCAACAAGTGGATTTGAGCCTGCTTGTTGCGGCGCTCAAGAGATGGCGGGAGCAGCGGCACGATTCAGAATACCATAGCTGCAGTATTGTAGCAAGGGTAGGAAGGACCATTTCAGAGATCGCGGGCAACGAGCCTCCTCACTTGATTTACACGCTAGAGCCAGGTACTGTCTTACGCTTCTTATAGGGCCGGTCTGCCTGGTCTTAATCATAAGGTAGGCTCAACGTCGGGGTATAATTCGGTTTGCTAGAAATGCGACGAAGTAGAGATATCTGGCATGGAATCACAGCCATCACAAAAATAAACAAAATTCCACATGTTCAAGTTCACGCCAATCCACATTCCACCCTTCACGCTCAGCAGCCGCTTGCTAGATCGTAATATATACAGGACCCCGTCCGGTAATTGTAAATAAATGCGTTCGTATAGAGCTCCGCACCATCGCCGGTCTGTGCCTCGTTCGCAAGATCAGACAGCAACTCGTGCACTTGATTGAGATATTTGCGTTCGGTCAGCGGGGCGTTTTGGATGACCGCTCGCCAACTTTCCGGGTCGGAAAGACGAGTGTTCCTGATCGCTTCGAGCAGATCGTCGCGCGTATCGATGGCGGCGACCGGGCCATTCAATGCATCTTCGACCACCTCCCGGGATCGGAAAAGGGCTGGCGAGTTGTCAGTACCTAGACTCGAGATGGTGGGCGCGACAGAATCAAAAACCTACCAGACTCGACAATGTTCCTGCGGTTCGACTTCTTGCTTCGGTGCTGCGGTATCAGGATGCGCACATCGCTGGCCCGATCACCGTTGATTGTGCTGGTTTCGGCTTGGCTTAGCAGGCGAGACTGTCGCTGAGGCTCTGCCGTGCCTTCACGTTGGTTGCGCGCACGCATCTCGTTGCGGATCCAGGGCACCAGCTCGGGGCTTCGAATGTCGAGCTCTTCTCGAGGAAAAAAACTCTTTACTTTGAAGCCACGCTCCTGGCTGTCCTGCTTGGCTATGACGATCCAGCTATGGCTGTCTTCCTTGTATTTGTTGAGTAGTTCCTCCAGAGACGAAGCATCCACGGCAAGCTCGGCGCTGATGTCGTTGGCCCACATATCCTGGACGATCTTAATCCCCATTGTACGTAGCACAGTAGGGTCGAAACTCGCAACAAGAACGTCACACTGCATATTATTAGCATGGTGGAAGAAGCCGATCAGGATTGCAGACTTACCCTTCTCGTCTTCCAAAATGCCCCGGTTTCGGCCTCAGGATGCTTAACGGATGTCTTGGCAGCAATTCCTGTTCCCAGATATTCGAGCATTGCTGAGCTTAGGCGATCCCAGCTCAAGTTAAACCCTACGGCGTGAGTCTGGGAGCGGTTTGCCAGCACCTTCGGACGGAACTCTTGAACCAAAGAATCATACCGTCCGCCAGCAGCAAAGACGTCACGCCGCTTACTGTCAAAGACGCACTGGAACAGAATGCTTCCTCGGAAGAATTTGTCATTCAAGCTTCCAAGAGGATTCACATACACTTTGCGCTTCACGTCGAACCCCTTCAAATAAACAGCTAGTAGGTTGATACGAGCGAAGATCGGCGCCAGTCGCTCGGCGAAACGAGTGCCTTCCATGATTGCCCGTAATCGCTTTTGTGTTTGCTTAGGAGAGTCTGACGTACGTTAGTTATGCATATGACCTACAAGGGAAGGCAAACCAACCTCGAAAGTCGAAGCGAGCAAGGTCGTCCAATGAGGTTGAAGCGACGCCGATGGAGGGCGACCGAAGCTCGCTCCTGATCTTCTGCATGGTCCATTTCCCCACGTTTAGCCTGCTGATCACTTCCTTTACGCGAGGAATCTGAGAAGGAGTGATCCGGCAGAACTCCATGATAAGCTGAAGCAAGTCGGAGTGGTTGACCAGGAAACACATGGGAGATGACCTCAATGGCGGAAATTCGTCAATGATCTCATCCAGAACTTTGATGACTTCTGCCTCTTTCAGCGCCAAATCCAAAGTGTTGTGCGACACAATATCGAAGTCAACCTCTTTGTGGGTTCTAGGCTCCCCTCCATGAGGCATATCTCTGTACACAGTGCCAAAAGCATATGTCTTCTCCAGCGAAGGGTCTTGTCGCGGGATGGCACGTGCGTTCGGCAGAGTAAGATCGAATGGCAACTGAAGCAGATTTCCGGAAGAATCCAGCAACCTCACAGCGCCGTTATTGTAGTGCTGAGACCTGGGGAAGAGCATTTGCCTCGTTGTCTCCACGGCGCCGTGCCGACGAAAAATCGATGCCAATCTTTCTTTGACCAACCCCCGAACAAGAAGCTCGTGGGCTGCTGGCGTGCCGCGTGAGTCCATGTCCCAGGCGATGTCTTCGTACTTCTTAGGAGACTGGGAGAATATTCCAGAAAGGATCTTCTTGTAGTCAGGAGAATTGGGATCCGAGAGCAAGTGCATGATGGCCCTTCGGAACGTCTCTTCTTCCACTTGGAGAGGGATCTGACCACTATGCAGAAGGTCCGAAGCCGAAGGACGTTGGCTTGGATCATGGTTCAATAATGACCTTATAATCCGGCCTTGAAGCACCTTCTCAGAATACTGGAACGTCGATGGCAGCGTAAAATGCTGTTCTCTTATTGCCCGTAACGTCTGGTCACGTTCCATGCCCGTTGGGAGAGGATGGCACATCTCGAAAAAGATCACACCGAGAGAATACATCTTCATCCAGTTGTTAGCAAAGACGAGTAGTTGTTGTGATCCATGGTTAAACTTACATCCACCTTCTCGTTGTAGTTTTCTGCTAGGCCAGACTTCATCTCGGGCGCGACGTAGTAGGTTGTGCCCAGACTCCGAGTGAAATCACCTTCAAAATCAGCCGTTGTGGAGGAGCGCACTGCGGTTGTAAATTGGCCACTGGTAGCCAAGCCAAAATCTCCAATGCGTGGATTGTTAGCAACATCAATGAAGATATTGTCCGGTTTAAGATCGCGGTGAATGATGCCATGACCATGAATGTGGCTAAGGCCATCGAGAATCTGCCGGAACAGGCGCCAGGACCGATCGACATCGTCGTACAGACCATTTCGGATCAGATCGCGAAGTGTCTTTCAGGTAATTAGCTTGTAGTAAAAAAACATAGAATAGAGCAAGGAAAATAAGTCTTACATGTTTCTCACAGTACTCCATCTGGATGTAAAGCGTCGTATGTACCGGTCTGCCCTGCGAACCTGATCCAATCCGACTCAACTCTCGATTTGTACCACTTTCGGTCTCATAGGTCTCTGAGGTGTCTCCTCCTCTTCTGTGGGAAAGCGTGCCATCGTCGTCATCATCACTGTCTGAGCCAAATTGGATTTTGGGGTAGCCGCTGGAGCTGATAAAGTCCAAGCCACCCGTGCTGTAGTCGTATGCACGAGAGTCCCGACTAGCAAAGACGTCGCTATCGGTCGAGGAAAGAGCGTCTTCATCTACATAGTCATAGTCTTCTTCGATCCACGCGGTATAGTAGCGTACTACGTACGGGTGGTTAAGACGGGACAGTAGCATGATCTCCGACAGCGTATCTTTCAACGCAGTGGTAGACTTCTGGGATATTTTCTTCACAGCGTAAAACCGACCATCAAGCTTATTTCGAGCCTTCACAACCTGGCCAAATCCACCTTTTCCCAGTCGTCCGGCTTCATCGAAGTCTTGGTTATAGCGCGAGAACGCCGGCAGTGCTCCAAGAGAATCAAGACGCGGACGTCTCGGAAGAGAAATGGAATTTGCAGCACTTGTTCGAGCAATCAAAGGCGCATCGACGCGGAAGAACTCAGACGGTTGAAGTTGAAAGGCTGTGGGCCGCTTCTTGGGGTCTGGACGAAAGAACTCGTGTAGTAGGTCCTGCAGCGGAGACGTTAAACCCAAAGTGCCCATCATCGCATTGGCCGACGTATACCGCTGGAGGACATCCAATCCGAATCCCATCTGAAGAAACACAATACCCAAGTCCCATACATCAGTTTTCATGGTCGGTGGAGCTCCCTCGTGGGCCAGCTCAGGCGGCATCCAGAATGGCGACTTGGATATCGCGAGCGACCGTTTTCCTGCCGTTGAAACAGGCAAAGCCTCTTCGATGCTAGCCT